TTATGTGAGTCCTTCTAACAAATTATAGAAACTGAGGGCTGTCTTGGTAACACCCTGACCTTGCAGTTGGGATCGCAAGTGAGGGTGGGCTTGTGGACAGTTCTCTCTAATCATATTGTTGGCTAACTTTCCAAATGATCTAGACTAAAAGCAGTGAAATTTGAATTCCATCTGATTTTGAGGAACATGCTCTTAACTACCGTGCTTTAATGTTCATCTCATGGGGATAATGCAAGTATTAAATAAAGCTCTGTGTTATATGCCCGGTCCAGAACCCAGAACTTGCACTAATCAGGCTCTTGATAAATATCCATTTCCCATCCTCTTAATAATTTTCACATGGAGGGCTATGCCATCCTTTCATGAGTGTATTCATTCTGTAAACATTTATTGAGCATCATGCCCTGTGCCCACTGGTCTGACAAAAGGAATGGGCTTCACAGCTGGGGATTTAGAGTGTGGCTTCTCTTTTGATTCTCTTGTGTTTGCATATTTTAGAAAGTATGCTTTGAAGTAACTCATACGTCAAAGAAGAAATCATAATAGGAATTGGAAGACAAACTGAACTATAGCAACAAACAAAAAATCACTTAAAATTTGTGGATGAAGCTAAAAGGTGCACTTAAATCAGGTCCTGTGAGTACCATGTATTATGTTAAACAGTCACCATGTATGGGAACACAGCAGACTGTGTTCCCACCTCACACCATACCCTGAGCTTCATGTACAGCATCGAGGTTCTTGACCCACAGGAAATTTACAGTCTGATTGGGTAGTGGCCTAATTGCTCAATCCTTTCTGTTGAAAGAACCATCTCTAGTCCCCTGTCTAGTTAAAGCAAAACCACAAGAGATTTCTTGCAAAACCAAGACTCTTTTAGTTGCTACTCCTACACTGCTAGGAAAAATTTCCAAATACCTGCACACAACAACATCCATCAGAACCCTTGTTCTACAGAATTAATGGAAGATACAGACATCCCGTTCCAAAGTGGACATTTGGCATCACAAATGTGCAGAATGGTGGGCTCTGAAGCAAATCACCATGAAGCTGCCAGTTTTTCCTTTCAGAGATGATTGCTTTATAATAAAAAACCCTGGGATCAATCTCTCTGTAAGGCAGCATGGCCAAAGTTTCAGGGTCTTTCTGCTCTCTCCTCTTCCCCTAAATAAAAAATTCACCGTACTTCTGGTTTGCAGTCTGGATTATAAGGAGTTTGGAAGTCATCACTCCGTTCTAACAAGTAAAAAGCTGAACAAACTGAAGGATCCATTTGTTCTTAGATCTACAAGATAAGTGAGGTCACAGGGCAAATGGCTTTGGGGAGAAATACGGGGAGAAAACAGGATACACAGAATCACAACTTACCAGAGCAAAAACCCATGACCAGAAACCTCTGCAGACAACAGCCCTGGGGTAGAAAAATCCGTAGTTGACAAATTGCTGGGGGTTCAGTGTGGATAAGTCTGAGCGCTAAAAACTCCAGGGCGCACCCAAAAAGTAACTACTCACTTTTTGTTCAGAATGGCCAGTGCATTCTGTTCTTCTTAACAAGGCCTGTCCTTAAGAGAAACTGTTTTATTAGAGCTTAAAGTACTGGGATTTTATCAGCACCTGACTGAAGTGAGGGAAGGGAAATGCCCAATTCAGCATCCTGTAGCCTTCCATGTGGGGGAAGGGAAATACCCAACTCCATTCTACTCTAGCCATTTTGTTCCACCTAACGGTGGAGTTGGGGTGGACTGAGAAGCACCTAGGTGCACAAGTTCTCTAAATGACTGAGACCTAATCCTAAGATAAAGAACACTTCCCTCCCTGACCCCTTACCACCACATTGCTACAGGACTACTTATCAGAGTTCCTTTTACCCAATACATCATTCTCAGCTTTCAAGAAAAAAGTAAAAGGCATACTAAAAGGCAAAAAACAAAACAAACAAACAAACAAAAAAACACAGTCTGAAGAGATAGAGCAAGCATCAGAACCAGATTTAGATATGGCAGGGATTTTTGAATTATCAGACTAGGAATTTAAAACAATTTTGATTACTATGTTTAAGGTCCTAATGGATAAAATAGATAACAGGCAAGAACACATGGGCAATGTAAGCAGAGAAATAATTATTCTAAGCATCAAAAAGAGATTGTTTGAGATCAAAAGCACTGTAACAGAAATGAAGAATGCCTTCGATGTGGCTTACTAGACTGTACAAGCTGAGGAAAGAAAACCTGAGTTTGAAGATATGTCAATAGAAAATTCCAAAATGGAAAAAGCAAAGTGGAAGAAAATGACTGAGAAAAAAAAACAATACAATATCTGAGGACTGAGACAACTACAAAAGGTGTAACATACATGTAATGGGATTATTAGAAGAAGGAGAAAGAGACAAAGAAACAGAAGAAATATTTGAAATAATAATTACTGAGAATTTCCCCCAAATTAAGGTCAGTCAACAAACTGCAGATCCAGGAAACTCAGAGGACACCAAGCAGGATAAATGTCCCCCAAACTACACCTGTACGCCATATTCAGAATGCAGAAAATCCAAGATAAAGAAAAAAATCTTGAAAAAAGCCAGAGGGAAACAGTTGCCTGACTTTTTCCCGAAGGAAAGATAAGAGCGAAGATAAGAATTACATCCGACTTCTCATCAACCATGCCGGGAAAAAGAGAGTAAATGAAATATTTGACGTGTTGAGAGAAAAAGAATCCATCAACCTACAATTTTGTACCCTGCAAAATTACCCTTTAAAAGTGAAGGAGACATAAAGATTTTCTCAGACAAACAAAAATTGAGGAATCCTCTATAAGTATTAACAACTGCCTTATAGGATATGTTAAAAGAAGTGCTTTACAGAGAGAAAAATGATGCAGCTCAGAAACATGGATCTGTATAAAGAAATGAAAAGCATCAGAGAAGGAATAAGTAAAGGTGTAATAAAAAGTTTTACTTTTCTTAATTTATCTAACAGATAACAGTTCAAAATAATAGCAACCATGTATTCAATTGTGTATGCTTACATATGTATGCTTATGTATAAATGAAGTGGATGACAGCAATAAAAAAGGGCCAGAGAAAATAGCATTATTTTGTTATTATAAAGTACTTATGCTACCCATGAAGTGGTATAGTGTTATTTGAAAGTGAATTTGGATTAGTCATAAATGTATATTGAAATTCTAGGGCAACCACTTAAAAAAGCTTTAAATAAATGTATAACCGATATCCTAAGAAAGGAGAGAAAGTTGAATAATGTAAAATATTCAATTAGAACCATAAAAGGAACAAAAAGAGAAGACAAAAATAGAAATAAAGAACAAGAGCAGATAATAGAAAACAGTAACAAATATAGTAGATATTAATCCAATTACATCAACAATCACTTTAACATCAATGCCTCATGTATCTTGATGCTCGGTTGTTAGACTCATACACACTGAGGACTATTTTGTCTTCTCAGAGAATTGACCCCACTATCATTATGTAATATCCCTCTTTTCCCTTTTAACTTTCCTTGCTCTGAAGTCTTCTCTGTCTGAAATAAATATAGCTACTCCTACTTTCATTAGTGTCAGCATGGTACCTATTTCTCCACCCCTTTACTGTTAACCTATATAAGTTTTTACACTTAAAGTGGGTTTTTAATATATAACATATTGTTGGATATTGATTTTTTAATTCACTTTGACCATCTCTTTTAATTGGCATATTTAGACCATTTGCTAAAAAGCATTGAGCTATCAAGCCATGAAAAGACATGGAGGAGGTCAGGTGTGGTGGCTCACACCTGTCATCCTAGTACTTTGGGAGGTCAAGTCGGGTGGATCATCTGAGGTCAGGAGTTCGAGACCAGCCAGGCCAACCTGGCAAAACTCCATCTCTACTAAAAATACAAAAATTAGCCAGGTGTGGTAGTGCGTGTCTGTAGTCTCAGCTACTCAGGAGGCTGAGGCAGGAGAATTGCTTGAACCTCAGAGGCGGAGGTTGCAGTGAGCCAAGACTGTGCCACTGCACTCCAGCCTGGCAAGGTGACAGAGCAAGACTCCCATCTCAACACACAAAACAAAACAAACAAAAACAAAACAAAAACAAACAACAACATGGAGGAACCTTAACCACATATTACTAAGTGAAAAAGGCCAAACTGAAAAGTCTACAACTATATGACAGTTTGGGAAAGGCAAAACTATGGAGATAGTAAAAGAATCTGGCTGCCAGGGATGGGGTGAGAGGAGGAATGAATAGGTTAAATACAGAAGGTTTTTTGGGCAGCAGTAAAACCACTGTGTATGATACTATAATGGTGGATATATGTCATTATACATTTGTCCAAACCCATAAAATGTACAATACCAAGAGTGAACCCTAATGTAAACTAAGAACTTTGAGTGATAGTGGTATATCAATGTAGGTTCATCAGTTGTAACAAATATACCATTCTGGTGTGGGACTTTGATAGCGGAGGAGGCTATGAATATGTTGGGGCAGGGAATATACACGCAATCTCTGCTTCTTCCTCTTAATTCTTCTGTGAGCCTGAATCTGCTCCAAAAATTAAATTCTATCTATTAAACACACACACACTCAGTCACTCACTCAAGATTGAATTATGGTAAGGTTTGCCTTCCAGGGTTCCACCCTGCCTGAGACACCAAAAGAGATAGCCTTTAAACCTAAGCAAAGAAGTCAGGGTCCCTCTGGCTGGATCTCCCCAAACAATAGCACCAAAAATTTTTCCCCCACCTCTTTGATGGTCCTACAAATCCTGCATGAGAGCATCTCCTATGTTCTGAACATCTGCTGAGACTCAAAGGACCCTAGGAGGGGGTCTTGGGGTCACTTCCCCTCTGTGTGAATGTGTTTGTTAGAGCCCCTCCTGAGGGTGGGAAGCAGGCTGAAGAGGGACAGAAAACACCTGAACAGGAGACTTCAGACCCACAGCACAGAACACTCAGCACAGGAAACCTTTAACCAAGGCTGATCCCAGGTCTCAGCTCACCACTGCTCGCAGAGAAGGCACTGTCGCTTCAGGTCTCAGGTCTGCATGTTCACACGGGCTTTCTGTGGAAATGCTTCGTTCTTATGGGGGAATTGCAGGCAGCATGCCAGCCTGTGCAGGGCCAAGTTTGGGGAATGCACAGCCTTTTAGATTTTAAAGCCACACTCTGTTAAGGGCTGCCTACTCTGTTTATGTGTAACTGGTTCCAAACATGAATTCCACTCATCCACCCCACCCTGTGCTGTGGAGCCAGTGGTTGCCATTAGCAGTGAGAGGGATGGGAAAAGTTATCAGAGTCACTGGAGGGAGGGAAAGTTCAGGAGCCGGATAGAAAAAAGACAAAATAAGAAAGGAAATGGGTCCTTCCTGCTGTAAATCCCATTGAAAAAGAAGGGACTGAACACAGAACCGTATGGAGCTTGTTCCACGTGCATTATGGAACCTGCCACCACCCAAAGCCCTCACCTGGGTTGGCCCTGGAGACTTGTTTGTTCTGGCTTAGGACAGCCAGCCCATTTTGCCAGCCACCCCCAAGTCTAAACTTGCACAGCAGAGTGTGGGCGTGAACTCTATCTTTGGAAATTCTTCCTCTCTCACCATTAAAAATAACCTATCCCAGCTGTCCAATGTGGTTTGCGATAGACCCTCACAGTGACCCCACTCCTACAACCAAGGAAAATAGAGATGATCTATTGAGTGTGACATGGGTCTCCCAGTCACTGCCTCATTCTCTTCTCTCCCTGTTCAAGACTTCTTGGAAACACTTGATTTCAGGAAAAATCATTAGTTTATAAAGCCATGTGCAACATCTCAGTCAATGTTGTGCTGCTATTACAGAACACTGAAGACCAGGTAATTTGTAAGGAACAGAAATCTATTATCTCACAGTTCTGGTGGCAGGGAGGTTAAAATCAAGGCACAGGTGTCTTGCAAGGGCCTTCTTGCTGCATCATCACATGGTGGAAGGCAGAAGGGCAAAGCAACAAAAGGGGACTAAACTCCCCCTTTTATAATGGCATTAATTCCACCCGTGAAGGCAGACTAATCACTGCTCAAAAGTCTTTTAATACCTCTTAATACTGTTATAATGGCAATTATATTTCAACATGAATTTTGGAAGAGACAAATAGTCAAACCACAGCATGCAGTATAAAGTGACAAAGACAATTATTTGGTGATGCCTGGAATTTGGGTTCATAAATATGAGTGACTAGGGAGGAATAAAAAGCCACAGTTGGTGGGAAACCCCAGGGTAGTCCTTTCACTAGAAACAAGGGCCATCATCAATGGGACAGAAACAAAGGAAAACAATTTATTGTGACCTTGAGTCATGTTCATGAGTGGTGATTTCTTTTGTGGGCAACCGTTCTAAGCAAGAACTGCTTGAGCACATGTGATTCATTTCTGCAAACTTGTTCTAACCTGAGCTTTTAATTTTAGACTAGAGATCCAAGTTAAATATTTCATGTGAACAGACCAAGAATAGAAAATGAGAAAAAAAGAAAGATAGAAAGCCCTTCATTACACAAATTGCAATACATATTCAACCAACATTCGTGGAGTGCCAACGATGAGTCAGGCATTGTATTCCAGATATTTCTGCATCTACTAATATCCCTCATCACACCACACCATTCAAAACCATGCCCTCTTGGGTTCCATTTCCTCTACAAGGAGACTACTGGTCAACTTATGCATGCAAAGTTTTCCTAGTAGAGTTACCATTCCTTTTGGCCCCACTCTGCCTGGCTCCAAAGGAATGACTTTTTTAAGATGATATAGCCCTGAATGGGCTGAATAAGAGAAAAGATATCTGGAACAGCCACCAGCATGTGGCTATCTGTAAGTCTTAGCAAGGAATTGCTGAGTGGCCTGTTTCAGCCCATCTCTCTGGGGGTGCTTGTCCAATACCCTATCTTCCATGATTTGGTAATAGTCTCCCTTTTCCTGCCTGCTGTGAACAAAGCAGAAGTTGGGCTCTCAGGGTCCAAACCACCATCTCCTTCCAGTCCTGGCTCAATGAACAGCCCCAAGTGTGGTTGGAGTGGTTGTGAGCACCTCATGTGGGCAGGGATAGACTCCGTATCGCCTTTCTCCAAACCACCTGTAATGATTTGAATGTACGTGTCCCTCCAAAATTCATAGGTTAAAATCTAATCACCAAGGTGATGGTATTAGGAGGCTTCTGGGAGGTGACGAGATTATAAGGGCTCCACCCTCATGAATGGGATTAATGCCCTTACAAAAGAGGCTTGAGAGAGTTGCCTCCAGCTTCCACCTTCTGCTATGTGAGGGCACAGTAACAAGCCAGTATCTTGGAAGCAAAGAGAGGAACCCTGCCTTACCAGACACCAAACCTGCTGGCACCTTGATCTTGTACTTCCCAGCCTCCAGAACTACAAAAAATAAATTTCTATTATTTATAAATTATGCCATCTAAGGTATTTTGTTATAGCAGCAGGAAAGGACTAAGACACCTCCTGTTCCCATGTCCAAACTGGGACCTCCCTGGAGGGATGACTACTCCCCAAAGTCCTTCCACACTAGGGAAAGAATAAGACCTGGGGTTTGGCCTCCCAGAGCCCCCTCCCACCTCCAGGAGCCTGGTTCTAACCTCTGGGACGTAATTAATGAGCTTAATTTTCTTCTCATAAGATTTTTTAAAATTTAGAACTTCACTCCACATCCAGCCACATTTGATCATGTTTAGCTTTCGGCTTTAGAGATGGTATTGGGCCAATAGCCTCTATGGAGAAAAAGACCTTACTTCCTTGCCCGCCCAGGACCAGGACAGCTGATTGCTGGGGAATGTCATATCCCCCCTGGCACCAGGTCACTTCCTGATCCTAAAAGGCTCCACTCAAATCAGCTCCTACCCAGCCCCTGGGGCAATGCCGGACAAGGCTCCAGCAAACTGATTAATGTGTCCTGGGCCAGACAGGTTCCTTGGTGGCTATTTTTACTCACTCACTCACTTGGGGTTTTAGACAAATCCTATAGTCATGCCAATTCTCCTCCAGCCTACTACCCGCAGTTTATAAATCCCACCACTGAAATGTAGGTCCTATTTATAGTGTGAGCTAAATCCTGTAAAGTGCAATCATTCATTAAACCCCACATGGATCTCCCCATGCCCTGGGTGAGGCCAATGAGCAGGAAACACAAAAGGCAGAAGATGTTTGTTTAGAAGGCATTAGCTGCAGATGCTTCCTCCCAAGCCATCTTATAGGTAGGCAAAGATGGAACTGAGACCTTTGGTGAATAATCCAGGGTAAAATGTAGGCAGATGCTCAGGGCCTCATAGATAAGTAGTATCTGGATAGCAAGGACAAAGAATTTTTTTTAAATTTTTCTCTTCTCTTTTTTTTTTTTTTTTTTTTTTTGAGACAGAGTCCCGCTCTGTCTCCCAGGCTGGAGGGCAATGGCGCAATCTTGGCTTACTGCAACCTCTGCCTCCAGGTTCAAGCAATTCTTCACCTCAGCCTCCCTCCCGAGTAGCTGGGACTACAGGCACCTGCCACCAAATCTGGTTAATTTTTGTATTTTCAGTAGAGATGGGGTTTCACCATGTTGGCCAGGTTGGTCTCAAACTCCCCGCCTCAGGTGATTCACCCACCTTGGCCTCCCAAAATGCTGGGATTATAGGCATGAGCCATCACACCCGGCCAATTTCCATTTTTATTTTAGATTCAGGAGGTACATGTGCAGGGTTGTTACAAGGGTATATTGTGTGATGCTGAGATTTAGGCTTCTATTGATCCCATCAGCCAGATAGTAAACATAGTACCCAATAGGAAGTTTTCCAGTCCTTGCTCTCTCCCTCCCTCTCTCCTTTTGGAGTCCCCAGTGTCTATGGTTCCCATCTTTATGTCCGTATGTACCCAAGATTTAGCTCCCACTTATAAGTGAGAACATATGATATTTCATTTTTCTATTTCTGAATTAATTCACTTAGGATAATGACCTCCAGCTGCATCCATGTTGCTGCAAAGGACACATGATTTTATTTTTTTCTATGGTTGTATAATATTCCATTGTGTATATGTACCACATTTTCTTTATCTAACTCACCATTGATGGGCACTTAGGTTGATTTCACGTTTGCTATTATGAACAGTGCTGCGATGAACATACAACTGGAAGTGTCTTTTTGGTAGAATGATTTATTTTCCTTTCGGTATATATCCAGCAATGGAATTGCCACGTTGAATGGTAGTTCTATTTTTAGTTCTTTGAGAAATCAGAAGATAAGTTTTAATTTTACACCTACCATTAGCTAGGAACTATAAATGATGCATTGCTTTATCCCTGAAAGCCCAATTTTACACCCATGAGAAAAATGAACCTCAAAGAGCCAAGAATTTGCTCATAGAAAGTGGTAGATCCAGATTTTAAATACAGTCAGACCCAGTCCCTGTGTTTGTCCCATATGCTATGCGGAGAAGTCTTGGATGAATGTGCTCATGGCGAAGCCTCAGCAAAACTGTGGTTACACCCAGCTTTGTCTCCTGGCCCGAAATCTCCTTTTCCTTACTTTGGGCATTAACTGCGATTGAGGTCTCACAGCATGATGGTCATTATCCATGAATGGCACAAACCAACAGGCTATATGAGCATTGTGTGAGATTCTACATGAGCGAGAGCATTTCAAACCCATGACAGATGAGAGGAGTTAGTACCTCCATCATCTTTCTGTAGCGTGGGAGCTCCCATCACTATTCTGAGCATGTGGGGTGGCCTTGCTTCTTCTGAGGCTAAATAATCCACCCCTAGGGTTTTCAGGGACTCTAAAACTAAACCGGCTTGTGCCACAATCAAGGCATTTGAGGTATACCTATCATATCTCTCATCCTGTAAAGCTTGGAATCCATAAAAGGGCAACTCTTGCCTGGGCATGGTGGCTCCTATCTGTAATCCCAGCACTTCAGGAGGCTGAGACGGGAGGACTGCTTGAACTCAGGAGTTCAAAATCAGCTTGGGCAACATGGCAAGGCCCTGTCTCTACAAAAAAAATTAAAAATTAGCCCAGCATGGTGGTGAACACCAGTAGTCCCAGTAACTTAGGAGGCTGAGATGGGAGGATTGCTTGAACTTTGGAGGTTGAGG